TTGAGGAAGGTCCCTCAAGGAGTGTGGCCCTCGCCGGTGGGAACGGGCCGGGGCGGGAAACTGTCCCAGCAGGAGAGTTTGCCCGTGTCCCCGCCGCACAGCCACTCTCTGGAGGATGAGCTGCAGCGAAGGCATCGCTGCTGGGAGGCCGCGGGACAGGACCCGGCCCGAGGGGACAGGACCCGGCCCGAGGCGCCGGGCCCGGCTGCGCCACAGGTGGGAAGGGCAGATGTGATGGTGAGCGGCGGCCTGGGGGTGAGGAGGTGCTCCGTGGCAGAGCTGAGTTCTGCCCGGTCCCTGTGTGTGTGAGCGGTGTGAACAGTTCGTGCCGCGCATCGGGAACGCTCCGAGTGCTGTCGGGGCGTGGGGTCTCAGTGAAGAAAAGCTCCAGATGCTGTTCATCACGGAAGCGAAGTCGCCGATCTTTGATACTGTTCAGTTAAAAAACATGTTTCATAAGCATGTAAATACTTACATATGTATGTTTAAATACAAGGTGTCAAAGTAGTGATTGATCAGCAGTGACTATTTTCTGGTTTTCCTGTCAAGTATTTAACAGAGACCACCTGTCACAGGGCGGCAGCTGAAGCGAAGTGGGTGCACGACTCTGTGCAGCCTGTCGAAGGTGGTTTTCCCTCCATCTGCAGAGAACAAAGCAGTGATTCCCTTTGTCAACACCTGTGTTTTTTTCAGTGCTGTCTTCCTAGGCAATGCCCTTCGGGTAGTCAAGGAAGAGAAAGGAAGCCCAATAGTTATCATATGCCAGCGAAAGTCAATAAAGATTATTTTAAAAATTATAAAATAGCTCTTCTGCCAAGTAGCACTGTGCACCTCAGCATTCCCTTGCTCTTGTTAGAATATGGCACGTGGGATGTTGGTTTGTGAAATATTTGGCTGGTTTTGTGACTTAGTTGTGAGGAACATGTATGTTTTGAGAAATAAACTGTGGTGGGCCATTGTTAACTTATGTGTTGCTTTACACATTTACAGAAAATGACAGCAAAACTTGTGGTCAGTCTGAAAATCTGATGTTATCAAAAGTTGATTTAAACGCTTACCTGAATTTGCAGTATAGTTACAATTTGAGTGCTGAGAATTATTTAGATCATGTCAAATCATTAGTGGTTTGGTTTTTTCCCCTTTGCAGTCTGTACAATGTGTACTTTCGGGTGCTGAAAGTGGGTATATTATGTTGTATGTTGTATCTCTTGCCATCTAAACTTCACAGCAAAGCCTGTTGAGTTGGAGGAACAGCTAGTCAGGGAGACAATTTCAGCCTAAACTTAGAATCACATTCTTTCTGCTGGTTCTGTCAGCTGTTGTTAGCCTTACAGAAGCTACTCTGATTATTTAGTAGTCTGTATCCACTCCTTCTGGCTATTTTTCTTCATTCAATTGAATTAATTTTTAGTTTTGCAATACACTGTATTTTAAGTGTTAGTTGCACAGATGAGAAAATCAGTATGTTTTCATAATTCTCTTATATTCGGTAAATGAGAGACCTCCCAAGATGTTTTATTAACAATTACTTAAGTATGTATTTTTTTCTTTCTAATTTCAAATCAATTGCAAAACTCTTCTGTGAGAGTAGGATCAGACCAGTTAGTGTGGGAGTAATCCACATGGCATGGTATAATTGTGGATTTTCATGTGGCGGATTTTATTAAAGCAGGTTGAGCAAACGTGACTGGACCTGCTCGCACTGATCAAAGCAGCCAGTCTAAAAATTGGCAGTTAATTGGGAAATACGTGTTCAGCTCCATTAAAACTGATTTCTAAAATGTCCGCTGCTAGAGACACCCATTTGGCTCCTGTGTGGATTCCTGTAACTGCACAGTTGGATCCAAATTGTCTGTGGCTCTTCTAGTTCCTCTTATTTCTGCCTCTGCTGCTGATTAACAGGCATTTGCTAAGAAATTGTTCTTGGAAAATGAACTTCTGGTTCGTTTCTCTTTCTACGTATCTGCAGACCAGTGTCTTAGTAGTCCATACAAAGTATTTAGTAGCATGTTGGGAAGTCTGTTCCCTTAACTTTGTTCTCTGTCAGCAAGGTAAGAGAGGAAGGGGATGCCTGAGCTGAACAGTGCTTCCTTAACCATATTTATGTTTATTTTTTCCCAAAAGTTGTTAAATATCTCATGCCTGCAGTAGTGTGACAATTAATTAGCATTTGAGGTTACTGTGCCTGTCTCAAGGTGGCTTTGGAGTTTTTACAACAAAGGTAAAATTACAGCATTAAAAGTATGTAGCTTTCATAAGTAACCTTATATAATCAGCAGTGTGCTTAAGTCTGTACTTGGCGCTGTATGAACAGTCAGATGGGTGTGATGTGTATCAACAGTTCCCTGGAGGTGTTAATGTAACAGCTTTATTCTCAGTGGTTTTCCCACAGCAGTGACTTCCTTCTCTCATTGGGCAAGACTCTGGGGATTCTGCAGGGATGGGCATCCAGGTCAAAGGAAAGGGAGTGAAATGTGTGGGTCTTTGATGACTTGAAAGAGGAGGAATCACTAATGTCTCGCTTTAATGTGAGCAAAGTTTCTGACAGTCAGATGGGCTGAGATCTGTCCTCTGTGAGTCAAAGTGTGATGGAGGTGGGAGAACTGGAGTATTTAACATAGCCAGTTATAATCTTAGATGGATTCATAATGCCAGTGAACCTGTAACACAAAGCTGTGGTTTCTATACAAAAAGCAGAGAGTAAAGTGTACTTTTTTTTTTTTCTTTCTTCTATGTAGTTAATGTCTTTCATAATTGGAAATTTTGCCATGGGTAAGCATTCATATTGCTGAGCAGCTGCGAAGCCCCATGTAACTGTTACTGATATAGCATAATCAAATTTTAACTCTCAAGGTAATTGTACAATTACTAAGAATGTCGAAGAGCTGTAAAGAAGCAAAACAGCCAGTAAGCCATGTTGTGTATTTTATAATATATAAGATACATGTGTATTTATATATTGACTAGTAATCCAAAGTACCTTCTGCATGGGGAGAAACACAATGCTAAGATTCTCCAGGCTAGCTTGTATGATGCAATATCTTTCACATTCACTAACCTAAACCTCATTTTCGTATTATTGGTGACCTTAATGTTTAGTCTGAAATGATGAAAAGCCTTCCTTGTGCTCATGCTAGGTCACACTAGGATTGTTAATGCAATATATCTAAATCACTTGCATTTTTTCACAGTGTAAGTGCAGTAAAAGCTTCATTTTCCTTGTCTTGGTTTCTTCTGTAGGGATGGGGGAGGATAACCTATAGCATTATATGGAAAAAAAAAATGTAGCTGACATAGTTACTTGGGTGCAAAAACCAGAAATTAGAGCCTAGAGGGTGTTCATTGACATAAAATCTTCAATTCCTAAGGCTGTTTGGGTGTTTGTGTGTGCAGTAGTATTTGTCTATTCTGTGTAACAAGCTAGGTGCTCTATTTTAACTCTAATGGGATGACCCAGAGGAAGAAGTGGCTCTTTTATTTATTCCATGTGATGTCATCACATCTACTCATTGCCTGATTGCTGTTCTCTGAGTTAAACTTGCTTTTGAGTTCTGCAAGCAGAAGTAGAGAAGGTCTTGATAGAAAATGTTCTTAAATCCTCAGTCTGGAATTGGGATCTCTTCACTCCCTATTTAGCTTGGTTGCTGACTGAATTCTGTTCTATACAACATTGTGTAGATACCTGAACTTCCACTGGGAGTGTCATTTACTACAACCCTGGGATCCTCATCCTTACTGAGTAGAGAGCGGAAGCAGAGGCCACTCTCAGGTAGTACTTTGCTACGATGTTTGGCACCTCATAGTCACACAGAACTTGAAACTATGAAAGCTGCTTTTTCACCAATACTGCCTGCTGTGGCAAATGGTACAAATGAGCGTAACTGCCCAGGTTTCATGTGCTAGCAGGGAATTGCTTATTTGGAAAGTGCAGAGTAAAGAGACCCTGATTACTCAAAAGCAGTTGCTGATCACAAAATGGAGTCATTTGAATAGAAGATCAGTGCCACATTGTGTGAAGGACCAGGTATTTCCTTACACGAACATGAAATGTCCTTTGAGTCAGCCGACAAAACTGACTTAAAACGGCGTCTCCACACGGCGCTGAACCCCCTCTGTGTGTATGGGGGGGGGAGCAGCTGCTGCAGGGGAGGAGCCGTGGCCGGAAGCAGGGGCAGGACTAGGTCCCGTCTGATTGGCTGAAAAGCCCGGAAATGCAAAACTGGCGCCGAAGAACCCCATGAGAGAGGCAGCACGACACGCCTCTCTCTCTCTCGCTCTCGCTCTCTCCTCGTGTGTTCGAGGCGGTCGTCTACACCCGCAGCCTGCCGCCGCCATTGTTCCTGCCGCGTGCTGCCGCCTGTCCCCGCTGCTGGGAGCTGAGCCGCCCGCTGCAGAGCCAGCCCGCTCGCTGCTGCCGCTTGCCTGCCCGCCGCCACTGCTGCCAAAAGTCCCAGCGCCGCTGAAACCGCCGCGTTTCCAGCGTCTGCACACCTACGGTCCCGGAGCCGCGCACCGACTGCCGCC